AGATGAATACATCTTAAAGAGATTTCTGCTATATGAAACTTACAGTAAAAATTGCATTGTCTATTGTATTTCTAAAAGAAAAGTTTTCAAACAAATTTACATCATTCTTTTAACAATGGATTCTGTAACAATTTAATCTACAACTCAAAAGAATCCAGAATAAAAAAAGAAGCTACTTTTCTAACAATTCTAATACAATGAATTATCAAAGTTGTTAGACATTATTGTCATCCACATTCCAAATTGAAAAATGAAGGCAATTTGTTTTAAGATCACACAATTATCAAATTTCCTGATCCATGAAGTTCAGTTTGGTAGCTCAGTGGAGGATGGACTGGGCTGGGGAGACATTTGAAGTAGGGAGACCAAACAGAAAGTTATTGCAATAGTTCAGGCATGAAATGATGAGACCCTGAAATGGGGCAGCTAGGTGTCACAGTGGATACAGAAATTGGCCTGGAGTCATGAAGACCTAAATTCAAATCCAGTCTCAAAAACTTACTAGCAAAATCATCTTCTGCCTGCCTTAGTTTCTTCAAAATATAAAATTGCTATAATAATAGCACCTTCCTCCCAGTTTATTGTGAGGGTCAAATGAGATATTTGTAATGCTTAATACTGTGCCTAGTTTATAGAAGATGCTTAATAAATACTTGCTTCCTTCTTTCTTTCCTTCCTTGTTGGTGGCAGTGTCAGAGGAGAGAAGGGGACATATTTGAAAGGTTTTTCAAAGACAAAACTTACAAAATTTGATGACAGATTGAATATGGAAGATTAAATAGAGGAGATTAGGATGCCACCTAGGTGATAAACTAGGTGATTTGGAGAATTATGGTACCCTTGACAGTATTTGGAACATTTAGAAAAGGGGGAGGTTTTGAGGGGAAAGATGAGTTCAGTTTTGGATATGATGACTTTAAGATATCTATGGTACACCCAATTTGAGATATCCTGTCAAAGATTAGGGCTAGATAAATAGATCTGAGAATTGTCTGTACAAACAGGCTAATTGAATTCATGGAACTGATGAGATCAGCAAATGAAATAATAAAGGAGGAGAAGAGAACAGGACCTAGGACAGAGTTTTGGGGGATATCTACAACTAGTAGGTATGGCCTGGATAAGGATTTATCAAAGGATACTGAGAAGGAGGAAAATCAGTAAAGAGAAGTTTAATGAAAAAGCAGAGAAAAGAGATTATCAAGGAGAAGACAATGATTTGACAGTTACAGTCTACAAAGAGGTCAAGAAATATGAAGATTGAGAAAAGGCTATTAGATTTGACAATTAAAAGATCGTTGACAACTCTGGAAGCAGCAGTTTCAGTTGAATGAGGAGGTAAGAAGTCATACTACCAAGAGTTAAGAAGAGAATGAAAGGAGTGGAGGAACCAGTTGTAGATGACTTAGTCAATAAATTTAGTCATGAAAGGGAGGAGAGATGTAGGGTGATAGCTAGTGGGCATGGGTGAATCAAATGAGGACTTTTTTCTCCTTTTTTTTTTTGGTGAGGCAATCAGGGTTAAGTGACTTTCTCAGGGTCACACAGCCAGTAAGTGCCAAGTGTCTGAGGCAGGATTTGAACTCAGGTCCTCCTGACTCCAAGACCAGAGCACTATCCATGCACTACCTAACTGCCCCTAAATGAGGACTTTTAAAAGATGAAGGAGACATGGACATATTTAGTGAGCAGGGAAGCAGTCTGGACACATACATTGAAGGTGAGAGACTGGGGTTAATAAAGGGAACAAGGTGCTGAAAAAGAAAAAATAGAATGAGATCAGAGGCGCATATACAGGGACTGGCCTTGGAAAGGAGAAGAGACATCTCTTCACATGAGACAGGTGCAGGAGACAATGATGGAAGGATGAATGATGTGAGATGAGAAGAGGATAGTAAGGAACTCTCAACCATTAGCCTCATTTTTTTGGCAATTAAATAAAGCAAGGTTCTCATCTGAGAGGATGGGGGAAGGGACCTGTGGCAAATTTGAGGATAGATGAAAAGGTTTGGAAAAGCCACTGTGGGAAGCAAGATAGTAAATCAGCTAGGGAAATATGATTTACTTTGCTATAGTGAGTGCCCAGTTGATATTATATAGCATAAATTTGTAACATATTCAGCTAGTTCAGATTTTGTGATTTTCCTCAGCTCCATTTAAATATCAGCATGTGAATAGGAAGGAAAATAGTAAATAATGAGAATAATCCAAGATTGAGACTTGGTGAGGCATAATCAGTGGTAGGATAAAATTTCAAGGGATTCAAGTTTAGAGGACATTGTGTTCTTAAAATCATTTACTAGAGATGGATATGAGTCATAGCCTGGGGAAAATACTGAGAGGTGGAGTGATTGGAGGTCAAAATGAGAATTTGGGTAGGGGTTGCTAGGCATAGAGAGAGATGTGGTAATAAAAGATTATAATCATATAAAAGAATTTCAGAGTTCATAAATATGAAAGTAGAATATATGTAGGTGATGGTAAGATCAAAGGTATGACCATCTCTATGGGTAACTTGGGTGGAATGGAGGAGTCAGTCTTTGGAAATGAGTAAATTTAGCAACTAGGAAGTTGTCTTTTGTAGTCTCTAACAGTACACAAGTTAGAGAGGAAAGACTGTGAGGCAGCTAGGTGGCATAATGGATAGAGTGCTGGGCCTAGAATCAGGAACACCTTAGTTCAAATCTGGCCTCAGATACTTACTAGCTATTTGACCCTGGGCAAGTCACTTAACCTCTTTTACCTCAGTTTTCTTAACTGTAAAGTGGGGATAACAACAGTATCTGCTTTGCAGGGTTCTGGTGAGAAAAAATGAAATAATATTTGCAAAGTGCTTAGCACATCTGGCACATAATAAGCGATGCATAGGTGTTCCTTCCTTCATTCCTTTCTTCCTCATTTGCTTCCTTCCTTCCTTTGACAGACACTCAATGCACTGAGGAAGGAAGGAGAGGGTATTAAGGAGTGGTAGTTAACAGCTAGCAGAGTTTTGATTGGGTGGTAAATAAACATTACATCATGTTTCTCACAACATGAACCTCAGAAGAGAAGAGGTTACTGAGGGATGATGGTAGAGGGAGAGTCTGGAAGTAGCAATGGGGAGTAAGGAGTATTCTCACTTCTGCAACATGACCAGAGAGTTGGGGAATATGAGTGAAAGTGAAACCAGTGCTGGAAAGTGTGGCCAGGAATGCAATATCATCAGGAGGGATCCAGGTCTTAGCAAGTGCCAGAAGATGGAAATAACAAGAAAGGAAAAGTTTTAAGATGAAAATAATTTTGACAACTATGGGACAGGTATTCCAGAAATCACAGTAGGTAATGATAGATATGGATTGGGACATTAAAAATGGGTCAGATTGAAGGAGATGGAGACAAGGAAATGAGCACTGAGGCATGAGGAAATGGAGTAATACAATGGCAGCCTTGGGGTTCAGAATTACAAGGATAGAGAAAATATGACAGTTGGGAGGGTATACTAACCATTGAGGAAAAAATTTGTGCAGACTATAAGTAACTGGAGAGAAGCCCACTGTAAAGGGATTTATGATTCTCATATTAATCAATATGATATGTATAATGAATATACTAACAATTTAGATTTCTCAGAGCTCCCATTTTCCTAGCAGATTCTGGCTTGAGAGTCAAAGACTCACATTGCAGCTTTAAGTGACCAATCAAGAAGTTTTGACATGCTCACAATTCCTGCATTCCTATGCTTGTGAATGTTAAGTGAATCCAATCAAAGATTGTGAAGCCTGGTCTCATCACAAGACTGGTTCTGACCTCCACCAAGTAATAACAACCCCCAAGATTTGAGACAATCAACTTAAGAACTGTTCCCACAGGACTCAAAAACACCTGTATTGTTCTGCACTCATGGGTTTGCCTTGGAGAACCACTCAAGACCTAGAAATGATTGTGTTGTAATCCACCTTCCCTCCCCTCCCCACTTGTGATTTATGTATAAAAACTTTGCCTTCATTCCAGCATGAGGAACTCTCCTTCTCAGGAGAACTTCAGGTCTACAAACCATATTCCTCACTCTAAAATAATTAATTATACCACTACTTGATTTCTGAAACACCCATCTCCGGCCTGCTCAGTTTCACCTTCAGCCATTCCCAGGTTAGAGACTGGTCCAATCCAGAATGCATTTAAAATATATTAATGCCATGAATAAAAGGAGGTAATCAGACTGTTCAGGGCCTTATCTCTATGTTCAACTTTGTAAGAGATGGTGTTGTTGGGTCCTGAGAGGCTAGGAGTGGGTAAAGGAATTCAAGGCAGATCTAGTCAGGGAATAACCACCAGAGCACTGAAATAGGTGCTAGGGAAAAGCAAGAATCCAGATGCTGGGGGCCTAAATTAAGGGCTGAAATAGGGCATCCTGCAAAGACTCAGAATTAAGGAGGCCACATATAGGTGGGATGTATTGGTGCTGATGCAGGAGTGAATGTAAAAGTCCCCTGAGGTCAGGATGAATTTAGGAGTCCCCACGAAGTCCTAGAACAGAATTACAACTAGTTCCAATTAAAGTTCCGCAGGCAACAACTTAGGTGTCTATAACAATAGTTCAGGTGAGAAGTGATATAGACTCGAACAAGGGTAATATCTGCATGGGCAGACAAAAGGGAACAAATTTGAGATTTATTAAGGAAGTCAAGAAAAAAAGACCTAGCAACTGATTGTATGGAGAGAAGAGGAAAGGATGGCTCAGAAACTATGAGCCTTTATGACAAGAAGGATGATAGTGTCCAAAATAGAAATGAGGAATTTGCAGATGGGCCATGTTTAGAAGAGAAAGAGGATAGCTTCAGTTTGGAACAATTTGAATTTGAGATACTAGGATCTAGAAATAGGAAGTTCACAGCCTGACATTTTTTTTTAGAGTTTTCAGAGTATTTTCTCACCATGAAGGCCTAATAAAAGTTCTATTTATTGTTAATACACACCTAATAGAGAAAATCAGACATCCACAGATATTTGGTGATGCTAGGATGCTTTCACCATCTAGCAAAGTGAGTGACATACGATAGGTGTTCAGAAAGCATCTTTAGAGATGAGCTGAATTGATTCACATATGAGAAGGGCTCACTCAAGCAAATAATGGTGTGGGCACAGTAGTTTGCTCCAGATAGTCCCGTAAATTGGGCAAAGTAAACCTGGAGGAACATTTTTTGGTTCAGTTCTGAGTGATCCCCACTTTCCATAGAAAATACCTACAATAACTAAGAAGCAAAAACACCAGGTTGAAATGTACCTTTGAAATGTAGACATCTCTCCTCTTGGAAAAGTTGCCACTTCCTTTAAACAAAATGTAATAATCATCAACAGAGACCAAGATATCATAGTTAAGTACTGTAAACATATATGTGTGTGTATATCTATATCTATACATATATCTATACATCTATATCAATAGATATACATATATATTTGGGTGAGGCAATCAGAGTTAAGTGACTTGCCCAAGGTCACACAGCTAGTAAGTGTCAAGTGTCTGAGGCTGGATTTGAACTCAGGTCCTCCTGCCTTCTAGGCAGGAACTCTATCTACTGTGCCACCTAGCTGCCCTTTGAGTACTGTAAATATTTTAAAAAATTGAAATGAAACCTCCTCTTACTCTCAAGAAGCTCATTTAGTTCTTACATGAATTGTATTTGTTGGATCAGCATGAAGTAGTTAATGTGTGTTTGTGGCCATAATGGTAATGTAGACATGAAGGCTTTTCTTACTGAAGAGACGAATTTCCTCTTTTCATTGCAGGCTATGTCTTTTAAAATTCTAGCACAATGGAGAACATTCTGGATTCAGTTTGAGATAAATTTCAATATGTTTATTAAAATTAGTGATCATTTTTTTGTGAGGGGGCACTTTATCATGTCTCATCCTGTGCCCTTCCTTTGCACTGATGATCCCCTTCAGAAAGGGTTAGTTGCACTCTCTTAGTCTATTACTCCCTTTCCTATCCCAATAACCAATGTTCCTCAGTCTATGACTCTTCCAGAAAATGGATCTAGTCTTAAAGACTATCTCAAAGGTTTATGTTCTTCTTGGATTGCTATGCCACCATCAAGAATATATTCTGAGAAATCTCCAAATATTGTCATGTCTGGGGGTCTATGAAATTAGTTAAGAGGATCCACAGTTCCCATACCTCAACACAAGGTAACAAATGTATGTTGTGTAGAGGACAGCCTTTATTTCACCACACTCAAATGCAGAAGCTACAGAGCCACAGGCTTGTTGACCATTTTTGCAGTATGGAAATACAGTTTAATTTTTCATATTTTCACCCTTATCCATTTTTGGAAGAAGAATAGTCAGGTAATATAAATAGAAAATATTATATAAAAACTTTCCATCCAGAGTTCTCCTTTGCTGATTTACAAAGCTGAACCAGCTAAATGTGGCCAAATTGTTATATGGTTTAATGATTTCTCCTTCTGCATACTCAACTTTAAACAGGATAAACTGAATACCTACTTTATTCAAGGCACTGTTTGGAATGCTAACAAGATGATAACACCTTCAAAACTTTGCGAATCCTTGAATTTTCCTACTAGAGATATCCTATCAGAAAAACAGATATATAAAAAAATTTACCTTCAAGGAATATCATAGATCTCAGATCATTAGATTCTGGTAACTTGAAAATATTCATCATCCAGCCAAGGACATTGTACACAGTAGGGGGTTGGGCATATGTTTGTTGAGTGAATGAATGTATCAGTTAATTAATTGTTTAATTTTCTGCACAATTCTCAGATTTTGATATCTAGACTCTTATCTCCACATCCAGGCAAGGAGTGATTGAGATTTCTCTTCTGATTTAGTTCCACTCTTCTCTGAGGAACCTGCAGTTTAACAACAGTGCTGGAGATAAGGTGGTTTTGAATGAGAGAAGGAACAATGAGGCTAAGTATGACATCATGAACTATTTGGTCTTCTTTAAGGAACCTGAAGTTTTGGTAAAAGTTAGGCAGTTTATTCCCAGGACTCTGCTGCATCACAATTTCACCATATCCAGGAATTCCATAGTATGGGGTAATTCACAGGTCAGTAAAATTTGAGTATCAAAATTTCATTTCCAGTCACATGAATTAGCCTTAACCATTTGGGTTCCTCCACAAGACTCAATAAGTCGTGTGAGTTTCTCCTTAGATTTAACTCCTTTCCTTTTACAGCAAAAAATCTAGATGAGAAAGAAAAAAAGCCAACATATAGATATTTCCAATATTTTACATCACTCAAATGCCAAAGCATCCAATTAATGCAGTACATACACTCATTTACATATACATGCAAACATATATGTATATATGTATAAACCTGAACACATATCTCTTTGGAGCCAAAAACATGATTGGACTGATTTACTGAATTGGTTTAATTCCCAGGTAAGTTGCATGGAATTAGTTTTCCAAAGGACTTTACTGGACAGGCATTTCCCCTCATATTACTAAATCTTCTAAAACCTTCCATGTAGACATTGATTGAATGCTTTTTAGGTCTCTTGCTTGTTTTTATTTCATCGTCCTGAGAATTGCTACTTACATTACATATAACTTCACATAATATAAGATCGTGAAAGTCATCTTAGAATGTCTGAAGTGCTGACACCTGCTCTTTTTTTTTTAAATGGGGAAACTCAGATCCAAGGAATTTCAAAGGCTCAAAGAGACCAAGAAATTGTGGCTACAACCTAAGGCTCCAGCTTTCCAAACCAATTGAAATTTTATTGCCACATAGCAGCCTACATGGCCCTCATTTTCAAGAACAAGTAGATGAGATATAATTCCTGTAGCTCATCTTCAATATGTTTCCTTAGCTCATACCAAACCAACATTATTAACATCTTTCCCTTTACAATGACGAATTGCAACCCTCATGTATTTTTGTTCCTTATTGCTCCTACTTGCTCATGTTCTTCCAGAATCTGTATGTAGTGAGAGCTGTAATTCTGGATTCAAGAAGATTTTTCAAGAAGGAAAGCCTATCTGCTGTTTTGACTGTGCCCAATGTGCAGAGGGGGAAATTTCCAATCAGAGAGGCAAGTATCTACAGATAACTTTACTCTCTAAAACCTACAGAACACCTCCACAAGGATAGGGGAACAGAATGAGTGGTGAGGAACCCACCACCTTCCAGATTAAAGGGTTGGTCAGTGAGCATATCAAAAAGGAAGCAGTAATTACCTAGGGCCAGCATGGGCCTCGTTTCCTTTCTGAAGGGGCTGCTAGACAACATAGATTCTAGCAAAGGATTTGACAGAGTCTCTCTTGGTTTTGTGTGTGTGTGTGTGTGTGTGTGTGTGTGTGTGTGTGTGTGTGTGTATGTGTGTGTGGTAAAGGTAGAGAGATGTGGACTAGATTAGTGGTCTCCAAAACGGAAGTCGGGTTGGAAAGACCTGATCCCAATAGATGTGCAATGTGTCAAGAATTGGTTGTGATACTTGGCTTCCACAGTTGCACCCACACTTGTTCCCCAAACTCCCTCAACTCTGACCTCAACTTCCCCTCCTGAATTTGATCCACCTCTACACCATCACTGACAACTCTCCCCTTCTCTCTACTCATTCAGCCACCACCCTAGTTAAGGCCCTCATCATGTCCTGTCTGGATTTTAGTAATAGTCTCCTACCTGGTCTCCCTGTCTCAAGTACCTTCCCTCTCACCATTCTCTGCCTCAAGTCTTACCTAGCTTAATCACTTAATGAGCATTGCCTCAGTCAACCTGAGACCTATTAAAGACCTTAGCTTAAAAAGGCCAATGTCTCCCATTGCATCCAGGGCCATCTCCAGTCTTCCTGATCTATATCTGGCCACCAGATCCAATGGCTTCAGATGAGAAAGAGAGGCTGGTGTCTTTGCACAGACCTCCCTCACTTAAATCCAATTCACCTGCATATCATGGCATTACATCCCTGTTGTCATAGTCCTCTTCAAGAATGAAGGACAAACAATAATAATAACATGGGACATCTAGGGATAAATATAGAGTTTTAGACTATTAGACTTGGGTTTAAAAAAAAGTAGTTTCTCAAATACATTAGTTTCTCAAGGCTTGATAAGACAAGAGTTTGACCTCTGCAAAGATCTAAGGGATTTAAATGAACCACAAGCTCAATATGAGTCAACATTGTGATATGACAGATAAGAAAACAAATGTGATCTGAGTATGTATTGAGAGGTGTAGTTTCTAAGAGTAATGAAGTGCTTCTCCCACTTCGCTCTGCCCTGCTCAGGCCATATTTATATGTAAAGAAGTTGGTCCTTGAAAGCCCGTGAAACACATGTAACTCAATTGTGTTGTAACTCTTGTTTCAAATATTTATATCACCTACACAGATACTGTTACTGTAGCTTTAAGATCAAATGGAATGTTGGAGAATACTATTGTAAGTCATTATTAAGAAACTGATGTGAAACACTTCTTTATTTTGTTCTTCCAAATAAATCTTGTTATTATTTTTTCTAACTCTATAAAATAATTTTTTGGTAGTTTGATTGGTATGGCACTGAATAAGTAAATTAGCTTAGGTAGAATTGTCATTTTTATTATATTAGCAACTGATATTTTCCCAATTATTTAGATCTGACTTTATTTGTGTGAAAAGTGTTTTGGAATTGTGTTCATAGAGTTCCTGGGTTTGTTTCAGGAGGTAGACTCCTAAATATTTTATAATGTCTACAGTAAGTTTAAATGGAATTTCTCTTCCTATCTCTTGCTGTTGGACTTTGTTGGTAATATATAGAAATGTTGAAGATTTATGTGGGTTTATTTTATAGCCTGCAACTTTGCTAAAGTTGTTTATTTTTTCTAGGAGTTTTTCACTTTATTCTCTAGGATTCTCTAAGTATAACATCATGTCATCTTCAAAGAGTGATAGCTTTGTTTTTTCTTTCCCTATTCTAATATTCTATTACCTTCAATGTCTTTTTCTTCCCTTATTGCTAAAGCTGTTTCTAGTACAATGTTGAATAACAGTGGTGATAATGGACATCCTTGTTTCACCCCCAATCTTATTGGAAATGCTTCTAGTTTGTCCCCATTACATATGATGCTTACTGAAGGTTTTAGATAGATGCTATTTATTATTTTAAGGAAGACTCCATTTATTCCTATGTTCTCTAGTGTTTTTAATAGGAATGGGTATTATATTTTGTCAAAAGCTTTTTCTGCATCTATTGAGATGATCATGTGGTTTCTGTTAGTTTTGGTGTTGATATGATGAATTATGCTGATAGTTTTCCTAATATTGAACCAGCCCTGCATTCCTGGTATAAATCCTACCTGGTCATAGTGTATTATTCTTGTGATAAGTTGCTGTAATCTATTTGCTAATATTTTGTTTAAAATTTTTGCATCTATATTCATTAGAGAAATTGGTCTATAATTTTCTTTCTCTGTTTTGACTCTTCCTGGTTTAGGCATCAGCACCATATTTATATCATTAAAAGAATTTGGTAAGACTCCTTCTTCACCTGTTTTCCCAAATAGTCTATATAGTATTGGAAGTAATTGTTCTTTAAATGTTTGATAGAATTCGCATGTAAATCCATCTGGCCCTGGAGATTTTTTCCCAGGGAGTTCATCAATGGCTTGTTCAATTTCTTTTTCTGAGAGGTGGTTATTTAAGTATTTTATTTCCTCTTCTGTTAATCTGGGCAATTTATATTTTTGTAAACATGTATCCATTTCACTAAGATTGTCAAATTTGTTGGCATATAGTTGGGTAAAATAATTCCTAATTGTTTTTTTAATTTCCTCTTCCTTGGTGGTAGCTTCACCCTTTTCATTCTTGATACTAGTAATTTGGTTTTCTTCTTTCTCTTTTTCAACTAATTAATTTAACCAAAAGGTTTATCTATTTTATTGGTTTTTTCATAAAACCAGCTCTTAGTCTTCTTTATTAGTTCAATAGTTTTCTTAATTTCAATTTTATTAATTTTTCCTTTGGTTTTCAATATTTCTAATTTGGTGTTTAATTGAGGATTTTTATTTTGTTCTTTTTCTAGTTTTTTTAAATTGTATGGCCAATTCATTGATCTCCTCTTTTTCTATTTTATTTATGAAGCATTTAGAGATATAAAACTTCCCCTAAGAACTGCTTTTGCTGCATCCCATAAGTTTGGGTATGTTGTCTCATTATTGTCATTCTCTTGAATGAAATTATTGATTGTTTCTATGATTTGTTGTTTGACCCAATCATTTTTTAGGATTAGATTATTTAGTTTCCAATTATTTTTTAGTCTATCTTTCCATGGCCCTTTATTACATATAATTTTTATTGCATCAAGGTCTCAAATGGATGCATTTAATATTTCTGCCTTTCTGCATTGGATCATGAGGTTTTTATGTCCTAGTACATGGTCAATTTTTGTATATATGCCATGTACCACCAAGAAAAAAGTATATTCCTTTCTATCCCCATTCAGTTTTCTCCAGAGGTCTATCATACCTAACTTTTCTAATGTTCTGTTTACCTCTTTGACTCATTTCTTTTTTATTTTGTGGTTAGATTTATCTAGTTCTGAGAGGGGGAGGTTGAGGTCCCCCACTAGTATAATTTTGTTGTCTATTTCTTCCTGTAACTCCCTGAACTTCTCCTCTAAGAATTTGGATGCCATACCACTTGGTGCATATATGTTTACTAATGATATTACTTCATTGTCTATGGTGCCTTTTAAGAGGATGTAGTTTCCTTCCTTATCTCTTTTGATAAGATCTATTTTTGCTTTTGTTTTGTCTGAGATCAGGATTGCTACCCCTGATTGTTTTATTTCAGCTGAAGCATAATATATTCTGCTCCAGACTTTTACCTTTACCCTGTATGTGTCACTCTTTTTCAAATGTGTTTCCTGTAAACAACATATTGTAGGATTACGGTTTTTAATCCATTCTGCTATCCACTTCTGTTTTATGGGAGAGTTCATCCCATTCACATTCACAATTATGATTACTATCTGTGTCTTTTTCTCCATTCTTTTTTCCCCATTTATGCTTTTCTTTCTCCTTTCTCCTTCCCCCCCACTAGTGTTTTGCTTTTGACCACCGCCTCCTTCAGTCCCATCTCCCTTCTATTATCTCTTTCCCTTTTCTTCCCCTTTATCCTTACTCCTTCTTCCCTCCCTTCTATCCCCCCTCCCTTTTCTTTCCCCTTTTCCCTCCTACTGTCTATAGGGCAAGTTAGATTTCTAAACCTAACTGATTATGTTATTCCCTTCTTGAGCCAACTCTGATGAGAGTAAGGTTCAAACAATGCTCATCCCCCTCCCTTCTTTCCCTATGCTATAATTGGTTTTTGTGTCTTTTCCTGTAATGATATTTACCCTTGTCTGCCTCTTCCTTTCTCAATACATTTTCTTAGATCAGACTAATCCACTTACTTGGATCCATTTAACCCACTTGATTAGATTTTTTTTATTGTTACACCAAAGTCAATTTATATCCACCCCCTTTAGGTATACTCCTTTAACATGGTATAATAACAATACAGTTCTCAAGAGTTCCAAGTATCATCTTCCCTTGTAGGGATGTAAACTGTTTGCCCTTATTAACAACATATTGTATCTTTCTGTCCCATTTACCTTTTTATGTCTCTCTTGAATCTTGTACTTGAAAATCATATTTTTTGTTGAGCTCTGGTCTTTTTATCAGGAAGGTTTGGAAGTCCTCTATTTTACTGAATATTCATCTCCTCCTCCGAAAAATCAAGCTCATTTTCACTGGGTAGTTGATCCTTGGCTGCATTCCAAGCTCTTTTGCCTTAAGGAATATCATGTTCCACGCTCTATGGTCTCTTAATGTAGAAGCTGCAAGGTCCTGTGTAATCCTGACTGTGATTCCATGATATTTAAATTGTTACTTTCTGGTTGCTTGCGGTATTTTCTCTTTAATCTGGTAATTTTGGAATCTAGCTATTATATTCCTTGGCATTTTCAATTTGGGATCTCTTTCAGGTGGGGAGTGGTGGATTCTTTCTATAATTATTTTACCTTCCGGTTCTGGGACTTCAGGGTAGTTATCCTTTATGATTTCCTGAAGAAT